CCCCCCACCCCATCTTTACAAAAAATTACAAAAATTAGACATGGTGGTGCAACCTATAGTTACTCAGCAACTGGAGCCCAGGAGTTTGAGGATGCAGTAAGCTATGCTCATGCTGCTGCACTCTAGCCTGGACAACAGAGTGAGACCCTATCTATCTCTCAAAGAAAAATAAAAAAGGAGAGACGGGGGAAAATGGCCACCTAGAAGTTGCCCGCGCACGCTGCTCTCAAGGAGAAGACTGAAAGTTGCAGGTGAATGCCTACCTACCAATGGCTCTTGCTGGAAAAAACATTGTAAAACTCCGGAGAAGCAATAGGGGACATTCAAAGTGAAGGAGAAGGTGACAGGACGATTCGTTCAGCAAGATGGAAGGGATCTGTGGGGGAGGTATCCACACATGGGGAATGTCAGGGAATAGAGCCCTGGGGCTCCGTGCGCACCGCACAGGCACTGTGGCCTGAGCTCTGAGGGGGCCCCTCCACCACCGCAGACCCCCGGACTGATCAGGGAGCTCTTAGAGTCTGTGCAGAGACATTGCACCGAAGAGCAGGGCAGCAGGGATCTGGCGGCTGGCAACCCTGGGTTTCTGCAGCTGACGCCAATCTGAGCGCTCGGGTACAGGCACCAGGTCTGCGTGGAACTCGGCTCTGCAGCCACCCCCTTCCGATCGCCCCCTTCACCGTGGAGGGAGCTGGCAGAGCCGAAGCTCCCCCACACCATTCCCCGTGACTGGGAGCCGAGCGCCCCCCTCCCCAGAAGAGGATCTGAGCAGAGGAGGTGCCTCGGCTGCCATGGGCATCACCTGGGAAGCTTGGGCAACGGCCTCAGCGGGACCTAGGCTGGGGGAGAGCCCCGGCTGTACAGTGGCCCCAGCCCACCTCCATGGGCCCTGGGCCACTAGAACAAGCCCCGCCCACGCAGCTCAGCTTCCAGAGCCCCCCTGCCCGACTGGCTCTGCCTCTGCAGTCCCTAGTCCCGGCTCTGAGGCTCTGCCCGTGCCCAGGCCTGAGTCTCTGCCCACCAGGCCTGCAACACCATCCCCAAGATTCCAACATTGCACCTGGACCCCAAGACTCCACCCTTGAGTCTCCACTCCTGCTGCTGGGCCCCTGGGACTGCCCTCAGGTTCAGTGCCCTGCCAGGGACCCCCAGCCTCGAGCTGCCATTACACCTGGACCTGGTTTGAGCAAACACCCACAGCCCTGTCACCCATGACCACTGCCTAGAAAGCCTCTCTCAGTTACCACTGTCACCTCTGCAGGGAGACCCTGGGCAGAGCAATCCCCTGCAATGCCAGGCTCCACCGAGAGGGTCTCACCAAGCCCCCAACTCAAACTTCCAACAATGATCTGAGGAGCAACCCACCACCCCACATGAAGATCATCCAGCACTGACTTGAACTATGACAATCACAGGGACATGAAATCAACCTAAGTGCCCATCAATTCATGTGTGGATTATCAAAATTTGGTATATGGATACCATGGAGTACTATTCAGCCATAAAAAGGAATGGATTAATGTCTTTTGCAGCAACTTGGATGGAACTGGACCAGACCATTATCCTAAGTGAATTATCTCAGGAATGGAAAAGCAAAAACCACATGTACTCTCTAAGTTGGAACATGGGCACAGAGAGATGTAAAAATCACTGGAAATCTGGAAAGGGGAGGGGAGGGATAAAAACCTACCTAACAGGTACAATGAACACTGTTCAATGGTGGGCACACTAATAGCCCTGACTTCAACATTATAAAAGCTATCCATGTAACAAAAACATTTGTACTCCCTTAGTATTTTAAAATAAAAAAGTATACAATTATTTTTAAAAAATAATTATACTATTTTTTACAGTTTGTGATTTAGTTAAATACGTTTTGGTTTAATGTCATCTTTTGCTCTGGGATTCTAATTGCTTGCTAAGATACTCCCTGGCTATGGAAGAAGCCACTCAGATTTAAGCTATGTTTGTTCTCTGAACGTGAACCCTTGGCTTTCTGACTCCCAAATATTAGGATAATGAAATAAAAAAAAAAATGCTCCAAATATAAAAGCATGAAATGATTATTTAAATGGTGATTTCCCCCAATTTTCCCAGAAGCATGGATGGTTATGCTGTTCTGAAGTGTGTTTTTATCCTGAATAAAGTAGAAAAGGAAACACAACTTCAGGACAAAGATGGTTAAGGTATCAACTCTATAATGCTGTAGTCACCATGAGGTTCAAGAACTGGCTTGCTGCTGCTTTAGCACTTTCTTGGGGTTTTATGGGTTTAGGGATGAGTTGTTTTGTTTTGTGGGTGACCACAATATGCCACCCCTAAATATGCCTCTTTGGCATAAGGATCCTTGAGCTGAAGGCATTTAAGAAGCAAATTCAGGGAAGCTCTCTGCTCCCCCTATATTTGCCCAAAAGCAGAACATAAATTTACTAAGACAAAAGACATCTCACCACCCACGATGAGGAAGAATAAAGATTAACCAACATTAGACCCTTTGGGGCCTGGAGATGGCACCAGAGAAATCTACATTAACTTTATTAGAGTCTTCTTCTTCCAGTTACTCACCGTGCCCCATGGTGCTGCCCCTAGAGGTGCCAAGTCCTCTTCCTTGTCTCGTCACTTCTGTTAAATTTACTCTTCTTTGTTGAAGCTGCTCTACAAGCTGGAACTCAAAGCCACCCCTCTGGGAACTATTCATTCCCTGGGTGTCTCCCATGAGTGTATGAGATACAAACCTTAATAAATGTCTTCTTGTTTTTCTCTTGTTCATCTGTCTTTTGTTACAGGGGGCCATTCCAGCTAAGAATTCTTAAAGTTTGAGAAAAACTACTTTTCCTCCCTTACAGTTCCCTTTAGAATTTTTAGGCTGTTGGTGTACCTAGAAGACACTGTACGTTTCTTAGTTAGAAGAGATGTTAAGAAGGGGCAGGAAGAACAGTGGAGACTTTTAGCAACATTACAGGGATTGCCTGTGGCTTTCAGCTTGCTTCCCTGGCTGGTGGGAGGCAAACACAGAGGCTTTTTAACTTTTTTTGGTCATAATATTAATAATCTAATAATAGCAACAGAATCTCGTAGTTACATTTCAGGTAAGTAGGTCTGTTTCCTGTCCTGCTAGTCTCATTTCTCAAGTGTTACAGCTTCTAATCAGATCCTTAACTTTTACATATTATGAAAATTGTCAAAGCATAATGTGAAATTAATGGCCAGGCTTCTACATAAATCTTCATCCCAGAGGTCTAACACAGCTTCTGCGGTGCCAGTTGGAGCTAAAGGTTATTATTCCTACTAACTCCTTCACTGAGGCAAGTGCTACTCGATTGCTAAATTATAGCTATTTTCACAGTGTCACTGCAGAGCCTTCCAACAGAGAATCATTTCATAAATACTAATTTTGTGTTGGTGTTGATTATGAAGCCAATTTAAGATAGCTAAGCAAACACGGCAGGTAAATTTGGAAGATTTGCTGAAACTCATACTTTTCCCTGCAAAACAAACTTGAATATGAATGCTGTATCAAAGAAAAACTACCAAAAACAAATTATGTGGAATATATAATTGCTAGAAAACAGACATTATTCATGCATGTGACAAATATTTCCTGAGTGCCGTCTATGGCTAACACTACATCAGTATTAGAACAATAAACACAAAAGACACAATCACTACCCCAGGTAGTATAGTGTCTAGAGGAGGAGTTAGAAAGGAAATTGCTTTTTATTTAAAAAAAAAAAAAAAAGTAGGTGAGTACCATGAGCAGGCTGGCAAGATCAGGGCAGGTCTCTGAATAGAGAATGTCTTAGCTGGGTTTTGAAAGCCAATAGTTTAAACAGGTTCCTTTTCTCTTCTTCATCTAGTGATAAAGGTGACTAACAGGGCTACCAGCCACTTCCAGAGATTATCTCATTTAACCCCATGAGGTAAGGACTGTTAAGTTCCTCTTGGACAAACAGAGAAACTGGGACTCGGTAGGCAAATTGTCGGGAGCCACAAGGCTGGTAAGAGACAGAGCTCGGACAGAAGCCCAGACAAGCCAATCGCCCCAGCTTGCGTTCTCACTGTCCCCACGTGGCTATTTATTCAGGGTGGGAAGGGCGATGCAGGCAGCTGAAGCAGTTTGTACTGAGTTCTGATCCCCTGAGATTCAGGGTGCATCTGGTAGAGTTCTGCCACCTGCATCCGGCCCAGGCACGGGGCTGGTAGTGAGGGGCAAATCTGCCTGTCGTGAGCCAGCATTTATCTTGCACGTTTGGTGGGAAGGGGGCCCTGTTTTTTCCTAGAGTGTTTATGTCACCTCCCAGAGCCAGAGTCAAGTGAAACCATCTGCAGGCTGCCACCAATCCTCACAGGCAGACGGACTAAGCTTGATGTTAGGAGAAGAAATGGATGCAGACAGCTCTAGAGGCCCTAATTCCAGGCATATCACATTCTCACTGCTGATCTCTGATCCTTAGATGGGCTCTTATCCCATTCCCACAGTGCAGGCCTCGCCAAGAACCACATTTCTGGAAACAGATCCCTAATGTTCCAGCGGCCCAGATTCAGACTGTGCCCGGGACACTCCCCAGAATGCAGCGAGCCCCTCAGCCCACCTGCTGACTACTTCTGCGCTCCAGCATCTACCTGGGTGCTCGTTCTCCCAAAATTAACTGTTTCATACTCATTCCTTTTGAATTCTGAATCATTTAACTGAAGCACAAGTGATCCACTTTGAATTATGATGTGGACGTAAAATCCAATATTGGTGAGAGAACATGATGACTTTGAAGCGTTAAGCCCAGTACACCATGACACCTAAACAAATTTCTATTGATGATGTGGACATGATTTAAAAATTGATAATCAGAGAACTTAACTAGCCGTTGATATGAAGTTCAAGAGCAAAGTTAATTTAGCATGACAGAAGTCAGAAAGATGTTACCTCTTAGGAGAGAGTCTTATTGATTAGAAGGAGGCAAAAAAGGAACTTTTGGGGTAATGAAAAATGCACTGTATCTCACCTTGATCTGGTTGGTGGTTATACTTGAGATTTGAGCATTGTACTTGATGTAAATTGCCTCAATTTCTAAAATGCAAAAATAAAAGAGGATAGACAAAATTTTGAGATCTGATTCATTTTATCTGTTCCTGCTTTTCAAATATGATTATTTATCAACTCAAGACAGAAGCACACCCTACAAAAGCAGATATTCTTACCTCTCACGATCAAATCTGACTAATAGTCTTACTTGGTGAAAAACAGAATTATTTATTTAGGGTCAAAGAAAGACAAAATTTTCAAAACATTTTCTTCTGCAATCTAAAAAAGGAAGCATAACTAGTAAGAATTGGCAACTGGCAAGGATAAATTAAATTCACCTACATTTTTATAATTGAAAATTCGATCACATCAACTTGGCTACAGTGAGGTAATTTAATTTTGTTTGCCTATCTGTGGCTAAGCATTGGTTGATAAGAGAATGTTTCTGGAACAATGTTGCCACATTGTTATGGCCTCTTTTTGTTCTTTTAATTTTTTTCCTCATAATGCTTTTGTCCTCCACCTCAGGCTTTAAACATTGCTCATTCCTTATGTTGCAAATTAAAGATTGCATTTTAACCTCTAAAATATAAATTATTGAGAGAATTTCTGCAAGTCAGTAAGAATAATTACCAGTCATGAAATATATATTAACTGCTACATAATTACCATATATAATTGAATAAGATCAACTAATTAAATTTCTTTGTGGGTGTCATTTAGAAATGACTAAAGGGTAAAGCCATGTTAAGCTAAAGTGAGTTGAGACTATGAATTGTTTAATAGTGTCTGAACTGAATTCTGATTGCCTATATAAACAACTCATCAATCTTAACATCTTCTAGGGACATGGGGGATATAATTTCCTATCACTTGACACAAAATAAATATGAAAAATCCTACTGTAAATTTTTGGTTTTCAAGTACACTAAACAATCGAAAATTGAAATGGATTTTCACTTATTCTCAAAATTGGATTTTGTCACAAGATGACAAGTTATATTTAGAGTATAACAAGCTATTGGCTGGGCTTGGTGAAGACAGTTCCAGCAATTACTAGATTTAATTTTTAAAGGCCTCATTCTCAATCTCCCCAGCTCTTTCCAAAAATAAAATGAGGTTTAGTCCTAAAATGAAAATTAGGCATTGCATATATGTTGTTAAATTAGTAAATAAATTCAATCATGGAAATTCTATTTCAGTATGTTTTATAAATTTGGAGTGTGAATAACTTTTCAAAGAAACTCAGGAGTAAGCTTAGTTGCAGAGTTGGAATAAAATGCTATCTTTGATATAAACTCCTCTACCTGTTAGTCACTTTATAATGTAAGATCATTTTGACCTAGTGAGGACCCAGCATTTGTGACCCCCTATTCCAATGAAGCACTTGTTAGACTAAATGGTAACTCTTTGTTAATGTGTGTCCACAACTGAATTATCATTGGCTCCTCAAAGAAACATATGATGACTCTTAGATCTTTGTATCCCTAAAGTCTACTGCATGGCATATAGAGAATTCCCAACATATATCTGTTGGAATAAATGAATTAATTATTCTTCCTCAGTTCTTGTATTGCAATACCTAATTCTCTCCAAATAAATTATCACTTCATTTCACATTTTTCCCACTCACTGTTATTCCGGCTTCCTCTTATAAGTAATTTCTATAATATTCTTGGGCCCTAGAATCTTATTTTAATTGGTTCTGCTTCTGACTCCATACTAGTTTCATTTAGTCCCTCATCTTTCATTGTATCCTGCTAAAATGAAATTGGAATCATTAAGTCAAAATCATTTTCACAAAATACCAGAATGTGAGGGCCACCATCTAGGTCCACTCCCTCCTCTGCCAAGAGAGGAAACCAAGAGCCACAGACAATAAGTGACTTGCCTCAAGTCATGCATTATTTTTTCTCAGATCTGCTTTCTTCAGTTGATATGATAATTCAATACTTCTGCCAAAGAAATTGTCTCTCAGGAGAAATATGAAAGCAAGGGCTAGAGGATATGGAAATAGAGCTTCCCTCACAAATTAGAAAAATGGGCAGCAGCTGCCATGATGGCAGGCTTAAGACAAGACTAGTCTGAAAGGTATTGATGCCACTTGCATCCCCGAGAGCCCGAAATACTCCAACAGGAAATAATTTATTAGTGCTCCAAAATGTTGACTGTAGTAGAACTTGTGATATTTTATTCTTCTTCCTTTTCCAAGTTTGCAATGATCAATATGCATCATTTTTATGACCAGATGAAATAAAATTAGCTGTATTTTTCATAGGCCAGACTTTTTTCTGTTTATTTTAGAATTCCCTATTAAAGACAAACATGTCCTTGGTAGGATAAACCTCTTGAGATTCACAGAACACCTTGTCTGGTGACTTGCCAACCAGATCAGCTACCAAGGAGCATCATTGGTGGATGGTAGGGCAGGTGGTGTCCTGAGGAAACAGGACACTAGAGTGGTGCTGGGTAGTGAGGACAGCAGCACAGGCCAAGAGGCCAGCAAAGAAGAGAGGAGGAGACACCAGAGATGAGCCTTGCCCAGTTTAGAGTTTGGCCTAAAGTAGGGTATGGCAAACAATGGCCATGGGACAAATCCAGCCACCACCTGCTTTTGGAAATAAATTTATTACAACACAGTTGAACTCAATGTTTATATATTGTCTATGGCTACTTTTCTGCTGAAACAGTAGAGTTAAGTAATTTGGACGGAGACTGTGTGGCCTGGCCTTTGCAGAGGGACTATGAAATCACCATCCACATGACCTGGCACCTCCTCAAGGCCATCCCCCCATAGGTGTCAAAGAGAATAGTTTGTCTCCACCAAGTGCATAAAGTATGCTGACATAGACCTTCCTTTACCCATGTCTAGCCTACATTTTCAATAGCTTCCTTGCTTTGTAATGATAGCCTAATCGGTATGTTAATATAAAGGTTTTATGACACTAAAAAAAAATGTGACCTATTTACATCATAATGATGTTAGAAAAAGCAAAACAAAATTTTAAAAGCCAAGTGCTTTCTTTTTAAAAAAGTAACTATTTATATATTTATCTATAGCCTGTATCAACTCATCCTCAAACATTTCAAAGAACCAAGAAATAAATTAAGCTATGCTTTTGGTTTTTGTACATAGGACTTTTATCCTTTGTTTAAGTCTATGCTGATATTTACAACAATGCCCGTGTACCTCTGTGCCTTTGTCTTTATTTTCAACCTCAAATTGTCCTCACTTTTTCCCTCCCTGTCATGTATCCAAATATAACTCATCATTCAAGCCCTATTTCCTCTACAGGGCCAACATTGATTTTTCCATAATTCTTATAGGACATAGACTTGATAGCGCATAATTTAAAATGTACAGGGTCACCCAGGCTAGAGTACAATGGCATGATAACAGCTCACTGCAACCTCAAACTCCTAGGCCCAAGCAATCCTCCTACCTCAGCCTCCCAAGTATCTAGGACTACAGGCATGTACCACTGCACTCAGCTAATTTATCTATTTTTGGCAGAGATGGGGTCTTGTTGTGTTACCCATGCTGGTCTCAAACTTCTAGCCTTAAGCAATCCTCCTACCTCAGCTCCCAAAGTGCTAGGATTATAGGCATGAGCCACCATGCCCAGCCTAAAATAATTTTTATCTTCATTTTAAGCAGTAATCTATATTCCTTAAGGCTCCAGTAAATTATACTCATTCAGTGAAACTCATTCAACAAGTATTTGTGGAGCTCCTACTACTTTTCTACATTATGGGAATATAGCTATGAATAGACAAAGCCCTGACCCCCATGGAACCTACATTCTGCATAAAGGAGAGTGACAACAAGGACACAAACCACTAGATAGGTAACAGGTCAGGTATCAGATACATGCTATGAAGCAAGATAAGGCAGAATTGGGGGAGAGAAAGGTAAAGAGTAGAAGCCTCTAGAAAGGTGAACTTTCAGCAGAAACATGAACAAGTAAGAGAGCAAGCCATGAAGTTATATTAGGCTGGTGCAAAAGTAATTGCGGTTTTATCATTGTTGAAATTTCCCATTTGATATTGGAATACATACTTTTAAAATATGGCTATGTTATACATCATTTTAATGCACATTTCTCACTTTATACTTTTTTGGCTAATAACTTACTATTTGCTGTTTATTTTATATTTATTCTAGACTATGGAGATGATGTTTGACAAAAAGCAAATTCAAGCAATTTTCTTATTCGAGTTCAAAATGGGTCATAAAGCAGCAGAGAAAACTTGCAACATCAACAGCACATTTGGCCCAGGACCTGCTAATGAACATAGAATGCGGTGGTGGTTCAAGAAGTTTGGCAGAGGATACGAGAGCCTTGAAGATGAGGAGCACAGTGGCCAGCCATCAGTTGACAATGATCACTTGAGAGCAATCATTGAAGCCAATCCTCTTACAACTACACAAGAAGTGTCCAAAGAATTCAAGGTCAACCATTCTATGTTAGTTCAGTAGTGCGGCATTTGGAGCAAATTGGAAAGGTGAAAAAGCTCAGTAAGTGGGTGCCTCAGGAGCTGTCCAAAAATTAAAAAATTGTTGTTTTGAAGAGTCATTTTTCTCTTATTGTATGCAACAACAATAAACCATTTCTCACCTGGATTGTGATGTGCCATGAAAAGTGGATTTTGTACAACAACTGCAATGACCAGTTCAGTGGTTGGACAAAGAAGAAGTTCCAAAGCACTTCCTAAAGCCAAACTTGAACCAAAGAAAGGTCATGGTCACTGTTCGGTGGTCTGCTGCCTGTCTGATTCACTACTGTTTTCTGAATCCCAGTGAAGCCATTGTGTCTGAGAAGACTGCTCAGCAAATCCATGAGATATACTGAAAACTGCAACGCCTGCAGCTGGCATTGGTCAACAGAAAAGGCCCAATTCTTCCCCACAACAACGCACGTCACACAACCAACACTTCAAAAGTTGGACCAATTGGGCTACAAAGTTTTGCCTCATCCACCATATTCACCAGACCTCTCACCAACCGACTACCACTTCTTCAAGCATCTTAACAACTTTTGGCA